GTAATAACTCTTTCTAGTGAGGTCCTAATCGACAGCTGAAGTGTAGTGCTAAAACAATCTCATTTATTTGTTAGTCCACTCCTCAAGGTTACCTGGTTTTCTTCCTGTGAAGTATTCCAACTTCTCTGGGCTAAGGCTTTCTACTGTTTTTGTCCCATCAGCACAGTCCTGCTTACTGTGAAATGTCAGTAGTGACAAGTAGTATCAGCTCCGCCACAGATCCTCGAGGAACCCCACCGGTTACCCTTTTATCCCATCTCCCTTAGCCAGACCCTCATGCAATTTCCAATTCCCATCTTCTCCAGTCGTTAGCTAATGTCACACACGTAACACTGCACTGCAGCTGGATTTTGTCTGAGATGACTCAACAGCAGTGGCCATCAGGGTGTATGGCATCGTTATCCTCAGTAAACACTTGCCCTTCACACTCACCGTCATTCTTCAGGCTGATATTTTTTTCCTCCTTTCCTTAAAAACTCGCAACTATAGCTGAGGTTCTCCATTCGTGGGGCACCACCCCCAGGCCAAACAGCTTCTTCCATTAGGTCTGCACGATTAACACCTCCAGGAGAGCGATGGCTTGGTGTCCCTAACTTGCACACCCCTCTTTTTCACTGCCACGTTGCTAAGTGATTTTTTCGCAGCGTGCCTCCCTCTCCACCCGCTGCCGTCTTCACTGGGAGCGAGCAGCAAGGTGCTTGGTGTACCCCTGTAATCATCTGGATCTCGACCACACAGTACTTCCACATTTATTATTTCCTCTTACTTTCACTGTTAAAAACTTGTGCAGTTATTTTAAACTCTCTGAAAGGTTGGCTGTGGGCATTTCTCAACTCTACTACTTGTTCTCATTTTTAGTAAGTCAAAAGAGCTTTTCTTGTTCAGCGGCCTTTTCTGTTTCTTGTTTTTCTGCGATTTCCTATTGTTCCTCTTGCAGTGCTGATTATCCTACAGCTGATTTCCTCTGGCTTCGGAGACGGAACTCTGATAATTTTAACGTGGTCCAATAGCAGGATTTTATGGTGGAGTCTGAAATACCTTAATCAAAACCGTGAGCTCCTCAGCGAAACAAACTTGTGGCTAGCTAGCCAGGATAAGGACTCATTTACTTTTGAAATTAAAAATTCCCGTTCACAGAGTCTTAGATCCTCAGTTCAAACTGAAATTAGGACCAGACTTCCTACGATGAGGATTTTTTCAGCTCAGATACGCGTCAAACTTCTCACAGAAGCCAACCGTAACGCAGAACGACTCTGTGGCGGCTCTATAGCTGTTGTGCCAGAAACCTCTTCAGCCCTCACAGCCGACAACAACAGGCCTACAGCTTCTTGCTCCTCTTGCTGGCCACGACTGCAAATTTTCTTCCCCTGACTCTGTGCCAGGGATACTTTATTCTACTTACAGAACCTACCTGGCTGTAAGAAGAAGATAGGTTAGTAAAGAGCTAAGAAGAGATTCTGCTGTCCACCTCTGCCCATCCTAGATCTCTTCCTAAAACAAGGAGAAAGTTGAGCTGCTGAAAACTTCTCAAAGCTTAGCTAACAGGGCCAATTCTGTAAAATTCAACTCTCCAGTTGTTCTGGGCTGGGATTTATTTGATGCACTAATTCAGAAAGCATGGAGCTAGGCAGCTCGGAAAGCACGTTGTCCCCAAAGCCTGGTCTTGCCTTTAAAGATGTGGATTATTTGTACCGAATGCCAGAAAGTCAGGCCACAGAATGAACACTCTCAGAGCCAGGTAAACCCCCCAGAATAGCTCTTGGGGTTGAGTATGCTGGAGAATACAACCGAAAACCATGGCCTAGGGAGTACAAGACTGAGGCAGGGAAGCCACAAAGGCCCATCAGCCTGCGGCCGGGACGGTGCTCATGGTGCTGCAGGCTTGAGGGCACAGCAGGGACGAACAACATGCTGAGCAGAAACTGGTATCTCATTATGGAACGTGGAAGAACAGGACGGAAGAGATTTAAATACTCATTTTGTTACATCAAGCGACCTCTGTATTGTGTTACAGGAGACAAAAGCGCACGAGACCCCACGGGTCTCAAAGCAAGCCCTGGTGAAGAGCCCGGTGCGCCCCCCGGCCCAGGCTGCCCGAAGCAGAAAAGAAGAAAGCCAAGGCACTACTGTTTTTCTGAATGGTGGTCTATTGGGAATGCTCAGAGGCTTCCCTTTGGCAGATTACCAGCTGTCCATAGCAAACTTTCTTCCTCTCCCAAATAATAATATTTTTGCAAGAGGTGATCTTAGTGAGTAGGAAATGACATGTTTATAATATTAAAAAAACCCAAAACCATACCAGCCCATCAGTCTTTGAAGCTTCCTGACAAACGTTTTTCCTGAACGTGGTACCCACTTCAGTTTCCTACCTGCGAAGCGTTGCGATCTCAGCATCTTGAATCCTTCTCAGCCTGGTAGAAACACTTCAAGCTGAAACGGGTGTTGAAGAAACCCGTGGCATCCTGAACAGGTCTCCATTCCTCTCTCCTTTTGCAACACTGGAGAATCTTCAGCATTTAGACTAGGGCTCTGGACCGAAACAAATCGAAGGGAAGGTTGTGGCAATTCTCAACCTCTGCGGAACCGAGGAAATCGGAGAAACCTGTCCTCACCACAACTGGGACAAACTGTTGCCTTCGGACAGGAACACCATAACCCACATCCAGAGCCTCAAGTCTCATTTTGTTAAATCACTTGGCAAGACTGAAAAAACATCGCAGTAAAGGATATCGTTCCTTTACAGCTCAGCCAGATCTTGAGGGGAGATGGTCTTCCTCACCCATCGACCTCTTCCCTTTCAGAAGGATGTCATGTCCTTCACTGCAGGGCAGTCACTTGTACCCTGACGGGAATACAAGGATTGCCTTTTGTCTTCCACCTCACACGCTGCCAGGCATTTAGATGATGCAGGTCACCCAGAAAAAGACTACGAATCGCATCTGAACTGGCTGATGGCCACTTTGTGATAGATATGAAACACCAGCATTGCCGGCAAGGCGACGAGATGTACACCTGGCAGAAAAGGCTTCGTTTCTCTAGCAGGTTATGGTTTGTTGGAGTCTCAGATCTGGTTACGGTCAGGTTGTGTAACTGACTCCCAATTCTACCTTTTACAATCTCACTGCTGTGCGAGATACTGCTAGAATGAGAGGCTTCACAAGATCTTTACCCAAACTTCCAACTGTTGAGGAAAGCCTCCATAACCCTGCCCCACTCCCACCACCGTTACACAAGCCATGCTTTCAAAGTTCTCTTCTCAACACAGGCAGGAATCGATGTAGCAGGCAGTTATGAAAACAGTGTGTACAGGCAGTAATCTTACGCTTACTAGGAGTCACAGGCTGCTCTTGGTTTGCTGCCTGAAGCCACCCGTGATGCGCGTTATGAAGCGACACCTCCGCTGGGTTCTGAACTCAGGGCTGCGGGAAGCAGGCAGGGAATGCAATCCAAGCTGCACCAAAGCAATCCACCCCATCACCATTTCTGTCCCTGGGGAAGCTGGAGGGCTTCAAAGCCACGCCACAGCACGCTTGGGAATGAAAGGCAGCCTGTAGGTGCACGCAGTGGACTGTCCGTAGGGTAGGAGTCAGCCAGGAGGCTACACCTGCCTGTACCAACCACAGTCAACGCAGGTTGGCTGACTGCACGTTCCTGAAGCGAGCCATCATGGCTAGTGAGCAGCTGAAGCTCCCCACGGCTCCTTCTGCAGCACCTTCTTTATACCACACCTTTGGGACTCTTGGCACCTGGCCCTCTGGAATGACAGTGCCTGTAAAGGAAGGCCTGCCTCTCCTTCCTTCCCAAACTAGGTTCTTTGGGAGCATGGATTTCTCTGCCACTCTGCTTAGGCCACAGAAAGCAAAAAGGGCTGAAATCTCAGGAAACCACAGCTCTAACTAGTACTTAGAGAAGCAGCAGCAGCAATTTCCATGCCCTACAACTGTTGTGCAGCTACCACACATTTCCTCAGGGTTTCCCTTTCCTCCCTGCTCCGTCCTTTCATCACATAAAGCAGGGAAAAGCAAGGTTGCCATTCTCAAAGTTCCACAGGGTGATGTAGAACCTGTGTTCCACTTAGGTTGCAGCAGTGCTGTTCCCCAGGGTGATGTCCTCTCCCCTTCTGAGCTGATGATGCTTCAACTCCTGCCCCATGAGGCAGGAAGAGACCAGTTGCTGCTTAACTGATAGCCAATTACTGCAGCAACTGATGCAAGTTCTCTCATTATCAGCCTCCACCCACTCTTGGCACGTGGCTTTTGTTCTGAGCAATCTGCCACTTGAGAAAATCCTGGGGGAAACAGATGCCTCCAGCAGTGAGCGCAGGAACACTGGTCCCTGCCAAGCTGGCAGCTCTGCAGCGCTCCACACATACCTGTTCTGAAGCATCAATAACGTATGGTTACTGAAAATGGGACCTTTTCAGACACACCTCACTGGAAATCCCACTGTATTTACAGTTTCAGAGTGTCTGTGATACGTAAACTGAGGCAGTCTTGGAGGAAGCAACAGAAAAGAATCATAGAATCATTTAGGTTAGAAAAGACTGCTAAGACCATCAAGTCCAACCGTTAACCCAGCACTGCCAAGCCCACAACTAAACTGTGTCTCTAAGCACCACATCTACATGTCTTCTAAATACCTCCAGGGATAGTGACTCCACCACATCCCTGGGCAACCCCTTCCAGTGCCTGACAGCCCTTTTGGTGAAGAAAATCACAGGAACATGGATTGGAGCGTACAAATGATGTATGAAAAGTTTAAACCAAAAATAGTTACTCAACAGAGATGCTCTGATTCTGAACAACATTTATGGTGGTGGTTTCTGGGTGGTGATTCTGTGGTTTGTTTTTTTTTTTAAAATGGTACAAAACACCAAAAAACAACACAGGAAGTTGAACTTCTTTTAAGAGAGACCCTTATAAAAGAGTTAAGTTTTTTTATACTTAAACACAAAGCAGCTTTCTACTTTTATATAATCAAGAAATGGAAAACAATTTTTATTAACATGTTTTACATTTACAATCTTTTATTAGCTAATCAACATCAACATGCAAAAATAAGCGCTAAATACAAACCTCTACAATATGGTTTTGTTTAAACTACAATGGTTTAATTCTTTCGAAAAGTCATAAGGATGTGTCCTGTAGTTGTTAAAATTGAACTATTAGTTTCAGTAATGAATACTATTTAGACCCTAAAATTATGTAATCATCCTGCAAGGCATCTTCAGAAACTTCGCCCAACACTTAAGAATACCAGCTCGTTTTCATGTGAGTACATTCTCAAAGCAAGAAATAAGGCAGTAGCACTAATGATTTCATATTGAACCCTATGCACATAACTAATAACTTCAGAAGGACTTTAACACTATGGTAGACTGGAAAAAGAACATTTAAACAAGCATTGGATTTTGCCTGAAATGTTCTCAGTTCCTCTTGATACTTATGCAACCTCCTCAGAATATCTGGGTTTGGAAAAAGACTTCGTACTCCTTCAAACCAGTCCCTAGTTGATCCTCCAGAGAAGCCAGTCTTGTGTCAAAGACACCCATTTCTTCCCGTGGAAATAAGTTAAATAATTCATGTTCAGGATTACTTCACAAGAGGATCATAAAGAAGGCAAAGAGGAGCTTAAAGGAGAACATATTGGTAGGACTGAAATATTTGATAACAAAAGGGTCCTGGACAGTTGTGAAAAAGAGGGAAGAAAAATGGATTGAATTTCAAATCTGTTGTCACTTTTCCCCCAGTGCAAGTGTCCATCTTTAAAGAAAGTTATCCTTTCGAGAAGAGTCCAATTTTTGACCTTATGTTACAAAACCTTAACAATCAAAATTTGTTTTTGTTTTAAATTCAAGTACAAACTTAAGTTATAAGCCTCTCTCCTTTTTTTTTTTTGTGTGTGTGTATTTTGTTTCAAGAGTGTTTATTGTTGCTCATTGATCTTTGGTCGCAAGAAACAAGAATGCCACCGACAGGTCTGATCCCCAAGGTGGCAGGTTTTGCTTCTTTGCCACACATTAAGGCCCCCCCCCGCACAGGGTATGCCAATATACACTGTGTCAAAATTCCAGCGGCACTTCATCATGTGTGTTATGGACCTACATGATGTAGACTTTCTCAGCTTGTGAGAAGTTGAAGACTTCTTTGGTTCTTGGGCAAATTACTTTGTCATCTTGACGAATAGAAAGCAGAGACTGAAAAAGAGTGAAATCAGAAGGTAATATTCACAACACCAATGCAAAGCATTATTTAACAGCTTAGTAAGTAGTTTTTTTTTTTTTTTAATTAAAAAATGATGTTCTAGCCTGAGGTCAAAATATCTTTGCCCACAGAAGTTACTTACACTACATGATCGTTCTCCAGAGGGAAAGATTTCCAATGCCATTTGATTTCATGTTATAAATCCATATATTCAGACACTACCTTCCTTAAAGACCCATTTCATCACATAAATACACAGTCTTTTAAAAATTACTGCAAGAAATGACTTCTGTTCATATGGAAGATATTTCTAGCTGTCTGACTGAGTTCATAAGCCTTTATTTTGATACAGAAGTGAACGTAACCACTGCTGCTTTAGGCTCCAGTAAGTCACCCATTTCGACACTTACATTGTATCCATAGACATATCCATTTGGTAACATCATAGGAGGATTATTTTCGTTCATTACATCCCCCGAAATCTTGCAGACTAGTCGGGAGTTGGCACAATGTGCCATAGGCAGAGGCTGAGCCAGCTTGTTCAGGGATTTGCTACACACAGGGCAGTCTGGATTTTTTGAGCTCCCGTCCTCTTTGTAACACTGTCTGTTTAACACGAAGTTAAGGAACAACCACCACAGAACGCACCAACAATTAATGACCTCCACTGGAAAACAGACAGTGCAAATGCAGCCCAGGCTACAGCTCGCGCAGGACCGCTTCACTCCGGTTTAACGCCTGCACGCAAGGATGAGGCGCTTGCTGTGCTCCAGGGAACAAGCGCGAGCGACATGCGTCTGGTACCCTCCGCAGGCGACATCTCCAACGCAGAACACCTCAGCAGCACCAGTCCTTCCCTGACACGCCAGAGCGCGTAGCAAATCCAACCGCGTTTCAAAGGATGGGGGATACATTTGAATTTTCACATTAAAAAAAGGGTAAATTTGTGAGTACTTTAAAAATGATGAATGCAAACACAGTGTAGATTTCGCCTTTAAAAACTTTGGTTTGGGGTTGGGTTTTTTTTGTTTGTTTGTTTTTTTAAATATTAAACCACACTGCTATTTACTATTATCTCCCCGTAATTTAGTAGGGAGACCAGTTCAACCTAAACAACTCACGAGCAAAACACACTCAAGCGTCACATTCCCTCTTAGAGCTCTCCAAAAAGCATCAGTGGAACGAAACAACCCGCAGCGCTTTTTCTGCGCTCGACAGTAGCATCTGCTGTAAAGGATACGGTGTTTTTATAGCCGAAAGGCCTGCCTGGAGTGTTATAGTGAAAACAGAATTGTTTCCCAGCTGATGTAGTCTGTAGTTATCATATCTAAACTGTTGGATCAGCATTCTCCATCGAGCAGGGTCCAAGAGATCCTGTTAAAAAACAATACAGCTGTAAGTTGTTTTCAATCTAATTGTCCCCGGAGGGGGAAAGAAGCCTGGGAGTGGTAAATTGTGCAAAACTCACTAGACTGAATCCATCACAAAATAACAGTACACATGCTGATGCATAGTGTGAATGCACTTGTCTAGAAAGCACCTTTTGACACTACTTTACTAGAAATATTGTTTAAATAAAGTACTACTTCAAACAGCTAGCATACCAGTATTCCATCTCCCTCCGCCATCTACTAAATGTTCTAATTAAAGCACGTAAACCCTGGTGAGGCTGTTTCTTTGCACTGAGTTTTCTACTTCTGAAGTGAGGTTAGTATTGTGGAATGTTTGCTCTGCAGCCTCTGAGCCATTAACACAGATTCATCACAGAATCACCATAACATTTGGATGGGAAGGGACCTTAAAGACCATCTAGTTCCAACCCCCCTGCCATGGGCAGGGACACCTTCCACTCGACCAGGTTGCTCAAAGCCTCATCCAACCTGGCCTTGAACACTTCCAGGGATGGGGCATCCACAGCTTCTCTGGGCAACCTGTTCCAGTGCCTTAACATCCCCTCTGTGAAGAACTTCTTCCTGATATCCTGATAGAACATCAGCAAGTCAGAAGTGTTTTTATACCTCACGGCAGGCTAATTCTCCCGAAATCCCTTCGTAACGCAGCGTTTACAGAACTTCGTAATGACATATTAACTTCAAGAGCTGGCACAACCCCCGGTTAGAGAAAGCTTAGGTAAGCTCTACATTTAAGGACAAAACTCTTTAATATATATTGTAATGCTGTGCATTACCAAAAAAAAGGAAAAAAAAAAGTAGGGATGGGTTTTTTTATGGAAGCAAGAACTAAACCCCCAGGTCAAGGATATATTGAACCCTAAAATAATGCTGTTAGAGAATCCTGCAAGAAGTGAAGATCGTTCAAAAACACACTCATGTTACACATACAGGCAAAGACCTAATCCTTTCTTCTGCTTGCACCCCTTCTGCTTTGTATCCATAACCTGCATTTTGGTCATGAGAAGTGCCTGTGTCTATTTATCTCAGAAATAAGTTCATATTATCAACTGCGCATGCTACACTGAGGCAACTAGAAGAAGCAAATTCTTAGTACACTGCTTATCTCATAAAATGGGCTTTTAAAGTAAAAACAGAGACTTGGTGACAGACAATACACTGAGTAGCAGCATCAAATTCAAAACTAGTCATGCCAAATTCCTAGGCAGTGATCTTGCCATAATGTGGATACTAGTCTTTCTGCTCTGTATCACCTCGGCCCACTCCGCCTCTCCTCAGTTCCCTGTTCATTTAAATCAAGACACTGGGGAAAGGAGAACTCTAGCATTACCTTTTCTTGTAGCCTGTGTCCTCGAACTCCCCCCACCCCAAGAAGATCAGAGTGGCCTGAGAACTCTTATACTAATGATTTAGTGGTACCACAATACTTTTTTAGTGTTCTAGGAATAAGTTTAGCATTATCATCATAAGTGCAGAATCATTTCTCCATCCCTTCTCTAACTAAAAACTGACTACTTGAACAGTGGTTAGAAGTTTACAACCAGTAAACCTCAACTGAGATTATCAAGTTGCCCCATCTCTATGAACACAGACAAAATGACTGTTGGATCGGAGACAGGTCCAATGTAATTTTAATAGCTCCCACTCAACTGGGAACATCTTTGGAGGAGGGAGGGAAGAGATGCAGCTCACAAGCCAGTCCTGGTGTGTTTTTCTGACAAGTGTTTAGAAAGTGGAATTACACAGAAGCTGAAAAAGGGCACAAACGTAAGGGATGGATTTTGAGAGATTCAAAAAAGCCACCAAGGATACCAAGATGAGAGAGAAAAGGAACAAGTCTTGCAGCAGAAATATTGGATCAACTGTGGGCCTATAGTTGAAGAAAAACAGTGCAAAAGAAAGAATAATTCACATGAGGAAGAGGCAGAAAGGTTCAGAGGCAATCTACAGGAAGGGACAGAATCCTGGACATAAGCAATATTTATCTTAACTTCTAAATGCTCCAAATCAACAAGCACAACTGAGGCAGAGAACCTACGCAGATGGGACAGAAGTAAATATGTTCATGTATCTTGCCTTCGCTAAAGCAAAAAGCACTGTTTCTGCCACCAGACTGCATGACTGTTTGCTCCACCACCTGCCCCACCGAAGGCCAGAACCTTCCCAAGTTCTAGGCTGAAGCTTTTGCTCTGACCTCAAGGCAATCCTCAAGAAGACTATGAGACAGAGCCTACAACAGATCCATAATAAAGACAAAGTACTACAAATGACTAAGAAAAGCCTGTGATTAAGGGACAAGGTGATGGGACACAAATGTAGCAGCTCACTGAATACCAGTTGGACTAATTCCAACCAGAGCTACCCAGGCATGTTCAAAGGATATCAAAGGAAAATAGCCTGTTTTGCCACAACATTAAATATGTTTTCCTTAAAGTCTTAACAGACAGGAAAACAAACTGGAGAAAGTTCTACTCATTACCTGCAGAAGATGCTGCTTCTTCCCTTGGATTAATGAAAATCGATTAGAGATGATATGATGTGACAAACTTTCTCGCATACTTAGAAGTAATTTCACTTAAAGGCATTTTAAGGAGCCATTTAGCACAGAACTCCCAGTGAACATGTTAAAGGTATCACCAAACAAGCATGCACTCTATGATTCTGTTTATCTAGCTAATTATTAGAGGACTCAAAACAACTCCCATAAACTAGAAATGTTTTAAGTCAGCTCCATAAAAGGTAGTAGGGAATTTGCTCCTACTGAATGGTTGTAAATGAAACAACGCTAACCTCTCTCCTTGCTCTCCCTCTTTGAAACATTCTACCCAAGCTGGCCTTTAATGGGAAACAGAGAACTTTTATTTCCTGTCTCTCTCTAAAACTAGGCGATAAGCTCTGCCTTACACCCAGCCTAATACATCTATCATTTATGTTCCTAACTCACATCGATGTAGAATCCAGAATACCAGGATCCTTCTAGGACTCCAGGATTCGCAAAGAAATTTACATGAAATCTGTGGGTTTGGTTGTTTTTTGTTTGTTTGTTTTGTTAAACTATTGATTTCATTATCAACTGTTTAAAAACAGTGTTTATACTGGCATTGCCACATATTAGCTCGTTACTTCACAGTATTCTTGTCTTGCTTTACCAGTTCAGCTCTTGCCTGCCTTCTGCCTCCAATGCCGAATATTAAAAAAAAGTTAATTAGAACACAGAACAAGCTCAAAATTTGTAGAAAGGGTAACTACCTACAAGTTTTGCTTGATTCAAATTTAGATGTAGATATTACTATTAGTATCTACATTAACTTCCATAATCCAATAAATGAACACTTCAGCATCAAAAATACTGCTTTCAGATCATTCAAATCCTCTTTCCTTTCTTCATCCCAACCACTGCAGAACAGCAATTTGGGAAGTAGAAGTGAGAACTGCTGTGTACTACGTGTAGTGTACCACGGCCACGGCCCAGTGGAACAAAACTACCTCTTTCTCCTTTGTACTTCCCCACCTCCTGTCTCTTGCTGTACATTTGCATATCACACTTCCAGTCCCACAGATGCTTAGTGCTGGGTTTGTGGTAAGCCGAGCTCTGTGTGAACCCGTCTGTTACTATTACAGTCCAGCTGCAACAACACAAATACTATCTGGATTAAAGTACAGGCAAGGAGCAGGTATTAAAATGGAGGATTATTATAAAGGTGGATTTTAGAAAGAAAAATTAGAACAACATTTGATCTTCAGGTTATCAATGCATTTTCCTGTAAGGAAAGAGGACTGTAACAGGTATTTCATTATTCTGCTGTACCACTGAATTTCAAACATAACGTTACCTTATAGGGGGAGATATGAGTGTCTGAAGGAAAGGCCAACATTCCCATCACTTGTCGGACCTCATCCAGCTGGCTTCCCTCAGCCTGACTGAAATGCTTTCTTGCATGTCTGAAATACAGAATTTATACCTTTGACAGCCTTGTTTCTAAATGAAATAAATTTACATAATTATGTAATAATTCAGAGAAAACCTCTAGATTTTGCTCTCAATACATGAACTCCAAAAGGTGATGCATTTAAGGGCTTGAAAAAACACAGCCTGCAAATGTGAATGCAAGAATGACTAAGAAGTAGCAATTTTACCCTGTAATTTCTTATAAACCAGAACTTCCTATTGTAGCATGAAGTCTTACCTCGTCTACATCCAGAATGACAGATCCATGATTATTAGAAGAAATGCCTCTGCTTGCACAAGCTCAATGTATCACACTTACTCCTTTGGCATACACCGGCGAGTGAGATTAATGCAGTCTGATAATCAGCTATTCCAAACCACTGAACATGAAGAGTGTTCTAATATCTGCCTTGTTGATACTGATGTTGGAGAGAATGTTTACTTTTGAATACACTAGTTTTATTTTTTAATAGGCTGGAAAGCAAGACCACTTTCTGCACAGACTACAATAAATTGCTGGGTGATGTAGTGGAAAACACCTTAAGAGCAAATTTTTTTTTGGCCAAGGCAGCTAAATTAAGTAGAATGTCAGTAAAAGTTTCTGTACTTTAATGCATACTTATTATGACAGACACAAGGCTGAAAATTTCGATATTTGAAAGGAGTGACAGAATTACCAGAAACGTATTTAAAGGAAAAAGAAAGTTTTAATATTTTTCAGGAAATTAATACTAAGAAACCTAAGATTTATCAGATTCTTAGGTTTAAAACCTCGTATGAAAGCCTCCTCTATCTAGTCTTCCCAGTATCATCAGTTTTCAAGACGGAGTTTAAGGGCACAGGAAAACCCTCCAGCCTTTAAACTGGGATGGTTAGTTCAGCATTCCTCCTAAAAGCTCCTCTTTTCAGTGGTACACAGATGCTGTGTAACAGACTGAGTACAGAATCCGCACTACACTGGATTTCTGGCATTGCCTAGGTGTAGAAAACTCTTCCCTATGCCGTATCTTCTCCACAGTTCGTTATTACGGGGAAGATACCAAGTCACCTCTGAAGCACTCTGGTGTTTGCTCTTTTTAAGTTTTAAGGAGTATTGTTAAACATGTATTTGAATTTACAAGTTACTTTTAGGAATATAGAGTATTTTCCTATTGCCCATTTCATGGGCTGAATTAAAAAAAAAAAACTAGGTAGGTATTTTTTTTCCTGTTGTGAGTTCCACTAAACTAGACTTAGGTCATCAATACCATGAGAACAGTCTCTCTTCAGTACTCATACTTCCTCTCCCACCCAAATCAGGAAGCAATGGAAGTCATGTAGGACAGACTGTTTCCACCCAACTTCCTATTTTGGGTGAGCAATTCAGGAATGTAAATATTGTTCCCCAGGTGATGACTGTTATGACAGCAGAAGTACAGAACCCATGGCCTGAGAGAAGAGACTAGGCAGTGTGGACATACTGGAAGCAAGCAGAAGCAAGCGCTAGTGTAGAGCCACAGGTGAAAGCGGTAGGTTAGGCAACGCAAAATACTCAGACCTACCAGCGAAGCTAAGTTACTGTGTGTGCACGCAGGAGGGAGAAGAGCAAAACAAGCAACATTAGAAGAGCTATCTATCGCTGTGCACTTGCATTCTATGACGTTAAAACAGACACACTGCTTCAGCTTGGCACCAGCCTCACTAGCATGATGGTCCTGCCCCCTGCCAGGCCTTGACAATTTGCTTTTGCCAACAGCATTTCAACAAGACATCCCCCTTACTTACAGGGAGACTCTGAGCTGCAACAGGCAAATGCCGACCAAACTTACTGCGTGTGTTCAAGAGCTAGAATTAACACTTTTTGTGTACGTATGTGCAGGAGTCCCAGAATGATTCTGTATGCTCTGTGGGGATAAAGTCCACCACCTTCTGTCTGAAAGGGCCATTCGTCCAGCCCACGCAGGTACAGCAGATATCTCGTACTTAACAAATCCAAGAACGAAGACTTGAGGATTTACAGTTTACTGCCTACTAAGGGTACATTAAGTTCAAGTACCAGCTACACAGTGCTTATGTGCATGTCTACGTATGCCTGAATGTAAAAATGGACATATTAACGGGCAGTAGCAACAACTGAAGACAAACATAAGGTGTTACCAAGAAAGGACTTGTTCCTTCTGCTCTTTCTGACTGATGCCTGAATGCCTTTATCACGGAGACCATTATGACTACTGGCAAAATTGATACTCCAAGTGCTCACAAGTTCTATTATATTTATACACCTGTTCAACTCCACCCCATTACAAAAAAGGAAAAAGTGTGTTCATTCACCCTTGTAGGAAAGAAGTTGACTAAAATAAATAGACCATGGCCACTTTCTCCTAAGTCTGCGCATCATCAACTATTTTTATTTACTCCTTTTGTCCTGTATATCCTAGGAACAAGAAGTGCACAGGGTGTTGTGTTAAGCTTTCAGTTAAGAACTCTGCATATCGCTAGCATCCCATAAGAGCAAAGCAGTAGAATACTGACAGACTTCCCAGAATGAAATTAGTGAGAGCTCCAAAAGTGTGAGATTAGCGTCATTCCTTGTTACTGTAACAGGTATGAGCTTTACAAAACAAACCTGAAGAGACTGTGGGAATTAAAGGCTAACGATACCAGGCAAAAAACTTTTGTGATGAGCTCAAGAGATTTACTCTTTGTATTCAAGAAACAGTTTTTGTACATTATTTCTTGAAACAGGCACTTTCAAGACCACTCTGGTAAGCTACCCGAGAGGAAGGTCTGTTTGTACTTGTATTCTAAAATGCTACAGAAATGCAAACCCTTACTAAATAAGATGTATAATTTTAAAGCTCACATCAATTTTACCCTAAAAGCAATATGTCACTTTAGAGGTTCTCAGCAGGCAGTAAGCAAAGCTTTCAAACTTATTTAAACACCAGCTGTGTTGCAACAAAATGTCAGTTCTCCGAGTTCCACTCATACAGGAAACTACTCGGTAAACAGCCTCTTTCTCTGCTTTCTAATGGATGCCTGACCTATTTATTGCACCACGGACACAATACTGAAAGAATCCTGCTGCAGGCACTTAACAGAAGCAAGCTAATAAAAACACAAACTGCAAGGGTTTGCTACAAGCAACGAGAATTATGCTATACCTTCCTGAAATATATTCCCTTATCCATCACACATTTATTTTGAAGCAAAGTAGAACGAAATGGTGAGAACTAACATTTTTAAGCCACATGATTTAAGGAAAGCATTGAGATGTTGAACCCTGTACAAACTTATCAAAACTCACTGAGTTTAAAAAGGAGTGAATTAAGACATAGAAGGATTTCCGTAACTCTTTCCATCTTACAGGAAGTTATGAAGTTAAAGCAGCGTTGTTGTGACTGGCAAGTTATAATTGCCAAGTATAAAATACATGTCAACCCTGGATTTTAGTCCTAACAACATTCAACATGGATGCCTGTTTGCAACACAGACATGAGCTGTAATGTTTTAAACCTCGGAAGCTATGACAGTACAAGTTATTCCATGTCAAAAGTGCTGGATCCTCTTGAGGGCTGACAACTTGCAAATTTTACCAGTTCTGATGTGGAAAAGGGATCAGAGGGAACCAAGTATCTAGTAACAACAATAAAATATAGAATGACCTTATCCAATTTGTCCCAGTTCTCAGCCTACCTCCTTATTTCAGCTCTATGCCTGCCCTCTGGTTTCCAAGCTACATAAGGAAGCCGGAGCTCAGAGAAACCAGTTTTTAGAGCACGGACTACTCATTGTTAAGATGCATGACTGCATGTCTGGCAAAGAAGCAAACTTAGAGAATAAAGCTGAAGGCACAAAGGCACAGTATTCATTGGATATAAAGAACACCATGGGCTTCAGAAGACAGATAATGTAGGTGGAGTATCTTTCATCCATTTCATAAATACTAAGGAATCGTCAGGTACTTGAGAATGCTATCAAAGGGTAAGTGCACAGATCTAAAAACGAGCACGTAGGGGTGCTAAATAATTTAATTATTAAGTTAGCTGGAGTTTATCAGATTACACATTTGCATGGGCTGGGATCAAAACAATGATGATTTAGGTTTAAGTAGGGTTATGTAGGAATGATATGAGTTAGTTCAAAGCAAGCAACACATCTGAATGAAATTAGAAATAACTGGAAATAACACTAAAACCCTAGGTGAGCAATTTTGGGGGTACTGTTAGTAACAGACTGGCACCTTCACTTACCTTCATTACCTTTTCCTTTATCCTTGTTTTTAAAGAACAAAGTCCTTCTCACCAATTCTATTCAAGAAAAGTTATGTGATGTGGTTTGCCCTGCAGAAGACTTTCTGTACCTACAGCTTGGGAATGCACAGGAATGTTTTCAGCCTGTGCTTATATTATGATACTTTATATGTTTTCTCTAGCTCTGTTCTCCTCTGACCAAAAAAGCAGCTTTGCCACAAAAACAAGCCTCCTGCTGGTTTCAATTTCTGGAGTACCCTGTATGGCTTTAAAGGCAGTAAGACTTGCAACTTCCTTAACATAAAACTTGTCAGAAATGTTAAATGGCAGTGTTATCACTGAAAGGTATCTGCAAAGCTTCAAGTCTGGCCATAAAACCTGCCATCTCTCCCTAGGTCTAAGTATTCTTACAAAACAGAACCTGCCTTGAAGTTCCTCTCTCCCTTGTCCATGTGCAAGCTCCAGTAGCTCTGCCACCTGCATCACAGTTGTGGTGCTGGCAAGATGACTGCTTATCAGAATGATCAACATATTTTATAGTACTAGTATCAAAATTTCATTCATTTCAGCAAAACTGGTTTCCTGAACGTTATTCCAACACTTTATATCAACCACTACCATAAAAGCACAGATTGCTTCGTGTGCTGAAATTGTACATATTGCCAGGTAAGACTGTCTTGTAGTTCAAGCCAGGCAGTTACACTTCCTTCCCAAAGCAGTCCCCACTGAACTAGTTCAGAAGAGGTAAAAAAGGATACTGAGTTGGTTTCCTCATCTGGCGCCCAGGGAGCCGAGTGTGGGTAACAATCTAGCTTGCTATTCTCACTGGCATGACACTACAGAACCCCAAATTACCCATTCAATACAGAAGGCGAAACTGGCCTAAAGCATAACTTGCAGAACAAGAATGAAAACAGAAGAGAATTCAGTCAAAATTGAAGCATTAAGATTTAGATGAGTGTTTCATTAACCTTTTAGCATATTGTGTGATTAACACTGCAGTGAGTTTCTGTGAGAAGCTAGCTGTACTTCTTGAAATGAGTTAAGAGTAAATATGTTCATTACACTGTATGCCACCACAAAATACAATTGTTTTCTAAACCAGAATTATTTCAAACACCTTGATTGTGAAGAGTAAGAAGATGAAGTGTTCCAGTAACAACACTAAGGGCTTTTTTTAGTAGGTTAATCTGTGGAATGACAACTTGACTTTAAAAAAAAAAAAATGTTCAACCCCAGTTTAAATCCAGAGAGTGATCCCAACACTAGCAAGATGCTTTTCAGCAGTGGGGCTTCTGGGTGTTGCAAGAACAGTCACGTTTCTAATGAAGCACAATACCATCTTGTTAAGAAAACTGTTTGGCAAGCATCCTCATTGCATACCTCACGGCATCCAGTCTCTTGTTCTGTCGAATCAGCTCAATGAACTCCTGAATCCTTAGGCTGAACTCCAGACAGCTCTGGGATTAAAGACAAGACAGGGTCTTAGATGGTGCCCAAACTGCACTGCACAGTATTTAAGGACTACAGGTGCACAATAAAAGTGTGTTAATAACATGCAACCTTGCTGGCTTGCTTTTAGGCATTCATATAAAAAAAAGTCAAAATGCTGACTTTATGGACATCAGCACAGAAATCCCTAAAAACAAGTAAAAACCTCCTCTTCTTGCCTCCTTCAAAAAAAATACTTTTTACAAAAAAGTATTTAGCAGGGATGAAATTTTTCCTAGTGACCAAGCATCATTACCTGAGATGCAAGTGAGAGTAACAGGTGGTTCCTTTGTACTTGCTCACATTTTGAAGTAGTAGATTCAACAGACTCTTGGGGCTATGCAAAAAAGAGACCTCTTGACACGAGAGGTCTACCCAAAAGACTGCAGGGACTATACAAATCTTTGAACACTACTTAGAAAGTGCCCAATATTAACAAAAACCCGCACAGAGTTTAAGCTGCTGCAATCCTCTTGCTCCTTTCTGTCAAACTTCTATCACGCTGCTCTTGTCAAGCATCTAAAAGCCATGCTGGAAACAAGTCTCAAACAAACAAACAAAAAAACCAAATAGCATTTACTGGTGTTTGGAAAGAGGTAAAATGTGAAGCCTAATGAAGTTGACTGTGTCCCTTTAAATCAAATTCCATTACCAGTTCACAAAAATATATAAACCCAACTTTGAACATGTGGAATTAAAAATAATCTCCACCCATAAAAGAACTAGTCACTATGCTTCTTCACAGGGACACAGTCAACTGTATTATTACTTTAAGAAAACAGTGAAAACCCCAAGTCCTCCGAATCTTGAGAGGAATTGTATTCCTTGGGTTACCCTGCTCCATTTGGCTAATAGTTTTTTCTTCCTCCATGCTTCTAATGAATAGCTGCATTTGTTTATTGTCCACACCAGCACAGAAATATCAAAATTCCTCAGTGACTTCAGTAGGAATGTGAGCAACTCCAAATCTGTATCAGTTAACTGCCTGGGGTGACTAATTCACACATTATAACAGTTGCTTATTTTATCATTTCAAATCGAAGCCATTTTAACATAAAAATAATGCATTCTGTCCTATGTTAAAATATACTTTAAGTAACAGAAAATAATTATTTTCCAACTATGCATTTTTGTGTACTCAAGCCCAGGTTTAGCAGAGAATAAAGTTTCTTCTCTGTTTGAAATTTTAAAATAGGACTATTTTAAAACACCTTGTTATTCAAATCTACACAAAACCGTCACTTAGAATTTTAGCTTAGATCCTTTCTACTAAAAAAAAAAAAAAAAAACCCTGATCAAGCTTTTCAGTTGTTAATGATACTAAATCATAGGGCTTCGCATTTCATCACCGGATTTCAACAGCAAAAACCCCACATCCCAAAACAATCTTCAGTTAGTTCCGGTCTTATGAACCTTCAAGTAAGCTGCCAGCCAACAGCTGTAAGGGTTTTGCAGACAAGTAAGGAGAAGATTTCAACCAAATAACAAGTTATAGAACAAGAGGAAATGGTTTAATGTTGTGCCGAGGGAAGTCTAGATGGGATATTAGGATGAATTTCTTTACTGAAAAAGTCATTTAGCATTGGAACATGTTGGCCAGGGCAGTGGTATGGTCCCCTGCCCTGAAGGTTTTTAGAAGTCGTGTAGATGCGGTGCTTAGGGACATTGTTTAGTGGGGGACTTGTCAGCGTTAGGTTAATGATTGGACTAGATGATCTTGCAGGTCTTTTCCAATCTAGACAATTCTATTCTATGATTCTAAGAGAGTCCTAGGCAATCACATGATGCACAGATTTCAACATCGTGTACCTCCAAACAGTTCTGCAGCAGCTATTCACCTCACATCCATCAAGGCTGTAGGACTACGTGTTTTCCCAGGCCAATACACCGTTCAATTTTTAGATTAGGCTTGCGTTAAGGTGGTGGCTGGGATTTCAGAACATTAACACTGATGAGTAGCTAAGCAACCAGAAATAGAAATGTTCCTTTGCGTTTCAAAAAGAAGCACAGTGATTTCTCTTCTTACAATTCTTGATCTCACAGTGTTAGCTTGGTTCAGAGGGTTTTTTTGTTTCTTTTCTAAAAGATTTATTTTTAAAAATAACAAAAGAGAGCAGGGCTTGCAGAAATAGATTTTTGTTGGTGTTGTCTTCCAAAGAGAGGGATGGGGAAGTTTTTTCCATATTGTTTGTTGAAGATTAGTGATGAAGTAAGATGTTTCAGATTTTGGTTTTTATATTACTTGACATATTACAAGTACACAAGGGGGATTTTTTAGCAGTATAATTATGCAGCAGTATTTACATACCAATTCTGGTTTTCCTTTAACCGTTTCCATAACAAGTTCATCATTTTCTTTAGAGTAATCACTGGCCGCTTTACTTGTGCATCCCATCTTCGGTTCATTCTCATTTTGGCGCTCCTGAGTGACAGAGAACGTCACTCTTTGCTTATCATTAAGTGCACTCAAACATTTTCGGTTAAAGAAAGCACTTAGTTTAAAAAATAAGACACAAACATCTTTGAGGGAGGCAGGGATTTTGGTTAATATCAGTTAAAAACAGATTTCTGCAAGCCCTATAAAAGACCATGGCATGTTTTGAAATGCAGAATTTAAGAGAAAGGGAAATGCAAAACAACTGCATAGGAACAAGGGTACAGCATGTCCAGGTCATGGCATTCGATGGCTAGACAAAGACTTGCTGTGTTTACTATTTGAGAAGACTCAGGTTTTATTTAAAAAACACAACCTCATTTCAACAGAAGTTTCTCACAGAAAGTTAGTTCTTCGCTCGTTTTATTTTCCTACATACAACACTTAAAAATACTAAGACAAACAATGTGTATTAGACTTCACTCGGTGTTAAGACTGAGGGCACAAACTTACCAGTTAATCTCACTCTTAAAATTTATCTTGATATATAACCTGTGTTACATCCTCAGCAGAGTGCAACAAGATATAAATGTAAGTTCACATGCATCAAGACTCCACATGCTTCTGCATTTCAATGCTTGCAAGTCACATTAAAACCAGATGAATATTATTATTTTATTGGAGTGTAATTTGTTGAGACAACACTTGGATTCAATAAGATGACTGGTCACTCCGTCTCAGGTTTGGCATTTCTGTGAGCTAATTTAGCTCCAACTACCTACACCTTCTAGGTGTTTTGTACTTACTGTCCTCACTTTTATGCAAGGCCTCATTCAAGACCTATAATTTAAACCAAATCGACCACATCAAATACCCAAGTACTTTAGAAAACGACTGAAGGAAAACATGAATGTGTTACATTTTCATACCTTCATTTTTCTGAGCCTGGATTTGTTATCATGACACCAAGCCAAGCAAGTCATGGTCTCTTGTCTTTCCAATGACTCTTCCACTTCTTTAGCAGTCAAAAACATCTCAATGTTTACCAAGTCCTTCAAAAACAAAACAGAAAGCAGGTCTTGTTAATTGTACTGATACTTCACACAGCAATCCACTCTTCAACAGAGCTGGAATACAGAGATGCAAAAGACTGGTTTAGAGACCTCTGCTTTTTAGGATAGTACTTTTTATAAAACGACACTACAGTATATTTTCAAGGCTGCACTTCCATGAACGAAGGTATTCTGATAGCGAGATAGTGACAGTATTTTCCTGAGTCTACTTATACAGCAGAACTAGAGAAAAAGAAAGAGTAAAAGATTAAACCTAGGACCTTTGCACAGGAAGTGACCACACACCATGATCACTTCAGTGCAGTTCACACTTCCAGGAGTACTTAGTTTACTCAAAGCTAGGCCTACTACATCAACTGGACCATGACTATACCGTAACATTTGCCAAAGTGAGCAACAACTACATAACCTGGTCTAGTGGAAGGTGTCCCTGCCCATGGCAGGGGGGTTAGAACTAGATGGTCTTTAAGGTCCCTTCCAACCCAAACCATGCTGTGATTCTATGACAAAGAGGACAATCTAAATCTACTTTACTTCACAGATTTCACAGAGTGGAAGGGGATGGAAGTGACCTCTAGAGATCACCTAGTCCAACCTCCCTGGCAGAGCAGGATCACCCAGAGTAGATCACCCAGGAACAAGTCCAGGCAGCTTTTGAAAGTCTCCAGGGAAGAAGACTCCACCCCCTCTCTGGGCAGCCTGTTCAGTGCTGTCACCCTCACAGTGCAGAAGTGTTTCCTCATGTTCAAGCTGAACCTTCTGTTTTCCAGTTTATGGCCACTGTCCCCAGTCCTGTCACTGGACAACACTGAGAAGAGCCTGGCCCCATCCCCCTGACACCCACCCTTTAGATACTGATAAGCATTGATAAGATCCCCCCTCAGCCTCCTCTTCTCCAAGCTAAACAGACCCAGCTCTCTCAGCCTTTCTTCATATGGAAGGTGCTCCAGGCCCTTCATCATCTTCTTGGCCCTGTGCTGGACCCTCTCCAGCAGTTCCTTGTCCTCCTTGAGCTGAGGAGCCCAGAACTGGACACAGCACTCCAGGTGAGGCCTCACCAGCGCAGAGCAGACAGGGAGGATAACTTCCCTCAGCCTGCTGGCCACGCTCTTTTTAATGCATCCCAGGATGCCACTGGCCCTCTGGGCCGCGAGGGCATATTGTTGGCTCATGGTCATCCTGTTGTCCACTGGGACTCCAAAGTCCTTTTCCCCAGAGCTGCCCTCCAAGAGAACAGCCCCCAACCTGTACTGATCCATGGGGCTGTTCCTCCCCAGATGCAGTACTTTACATGTGCCATTACTGCATTCCAGTAGATTTCTCCTTGCCCAGCTCTCCAGCCTGTCCAGGTCACGCTGGATGGCAGCGCAGACATCTGGCGTGGCAGCCACCCCTCCCAGCTTTGGTATCATCAGCAACTTGCTGAGAGTACATTCTATCCCTTCGTCCAGGATACTATGCCTACTTTACCTTGCGATTGTACTATTGAGTTTTAAGAGTCCTACAGTGGTCTGAGGTTTCCAATATATTTTCATGGAATCACAGAATGGTTTGGGTTGGAAGGGACCTTAAAGACCATTAGTTCCAACCCCCCTGCCATGGGCAGGGACACCTTGCACTAGACCAGGTTGCTCAAAGCCACATCCAGCCTGGCCTTTCTCTCACTTTCTTAATGTGTAAGCTCCAGACCTTCAATTGCTTATACCTACAACATCCAACACTGAAAACCAAAGTTACTATATTAAGTGTGGCAATGGGTGGGCCACAAGCTTCCTTAAGTGCTTATCACAAGCAGATGTTTTGGAAAAAAAAAAAAGCAGAAATCAAGTATGAAATTTGCACAGGAATAAACTTGTCAATATACCTGTGCTATTCATAACTATCAGCAGTTTCACACATTCATATCACTCAAGGCAAACACTACTGAACATTGTTTCAGAACTAGTAGGGTATC